AAGTATTTTTTTTTTTTTTTACTATAATAGAACCCCATTGAGAAAGACTTACCCCCTCACCCCGAGAGGTGAAACCAAATTTGGTCAGACCAAATCTAAGTATACACGTCTGACCAATGCACGACCTTTACTCTTTTTATGGCTTTTAAATATATATGTATATGTATGATAAAATACGCACCTTGATATAATTGTAAACTCAATCAATTTATAAACTTTCTGAACAGTAACATGAAATTGCGATATTCATATTTGTGCAATATGAAACTACACGGTAAGACAATCATCTTAGCGAAATTTACAAAACAATTGTTACATGCCGCTGTCCTCGGGTCAGGCTAGCTCTCTGATCTCTGCATATATATGTGATTGCGATTTGTCTTCTGCAATGTTTTGAGGTGTAGTGCGATAGTACGCCCTGAAAGTGTTTTTTGCCCTTCTGTTGTATATTTTAACGAATTGGAATGGTAAACGATAAGGATTATCAGTTTGAGTGATGGAGAGTGGTGATTTTTTTTGTCCTCGATAAAGCTGCACTTTTGTTCGGTATGAGGTTAAAGCCAGTTGGGCCGAGAAAAGGGTTAGGTGATTAATATTTTTCCATCCAGAGCATTGTAAAATAGTTTTTTAAAGTTTTCATCGTCGTTTGTACAAGCTACGCTGTATACCGAATAAAAAAAAATGAACCTTTGACCAACACTATGAATACTCGTAATTTGATTTCCTTGCAGCTATGACTTTTAGTTGACTGGAACAAAGCATCGTAGGATGTGAGATATTGTAAATTAACTCAAGTACAAAAAAAAAATACTCTCATTAGGGCGAAATGGCCTCGGTGTTTGATCAATTCGAGCAGGCCTCTCAGAGGTCCAAGCAGCCACTGCAGACTTTGAAACAAGATATTGTAATGCACTTTAGATTTCATATAGCTTAATAATTTTGCTTATTCATTGCAACCATTTCATATACCTTTACAGAGTAGCTCGGGGTTCATTCAGATGAAGCTTCAGGATGAAACTCCGATATTTATCAAGCAAAAGGTTAATTTCATGCCACCTGATAAAATTTTGGGCATGTGTGTCAGTGGCAATTTCGTTGTCATTGCCATGGCTAACAATATTTTACTTAGAATCGACATGAAACAACCCGACAAGCCTGAAGGTACGTATTTCAATAGCTTTTTTGGCAACATCTGATGGAAGTAGTATGAAGTAACATTTTATTTTCACTTTAGAAATCGATATTACCAAGTTTATTGGAAATTTAAGGCTGTCTGGCATATTTCTTGATCCTTTGGGTCAACATTTAGTTATATCTACAGTACCCAAACAAGGAGATAATAACTCTGTGTCTGAACTTTTTTATTTGCACAGAAAGTCGGCCAAGTTGAAACAAGTGATTATCTTTACTATTAATTTTGTCAAAGTCACGATCAATATGTTGAAAGAATAAAATTTTCAGGCTTCAAAATTCAGAGGCCATGAAATAACAGCAGTTGGCTGGAACTTCACAAATACTTTGGAAACTACTTCTGGACCCATATTGCTGGGAACTTCAAAAGGTCTTATTTTTGAAACTGAAATCGGTATTGAAGGAGACAAAATTTTCACCACCAGCTTGGAGCAGTATTGGAGACAGGTGAGATGAAAAATTATTGGAACAAATCATTATCAATGTAGGTTACCCATTAAAATGCCGTTAAAATCATTTCTAAAATCAGTTTGTTTCGTGTAATTGAAATTTCTGTATGAAAAACTTTTGTATTTCCAAGCTCCCGAATTATTTACCGCTTTACGGTAATAAAGACATGGAAGGATTGGTAAGTCGTCTCGTAAGCTAATTCAACGTAGTGTTTGTTGTGAAATATTCCTACTCATTAAAAAAAAAAAAAAAAAACATTTGAACTCATGTGCCATATTTTTCAAATCTTGAAGGAAACTTAATGTTTCAGGTATTTGATATTGGTAAAGACAGCAAACCTCCGATAACAGGTTTAGAATTCAGAAGGGTACCAAACACTGACAAATACTTTATAATAGTAACAACTCTTATAAGGATTTATCAGTACATTGGAGTTGTGTCCAGCCACGAAGAAAAGCCACTTTTGCAGCAAGTGTTTAGCAAATACTTGAACATCAAAGGTAAAATAAGTGAAAAAAAAATCAGCTTTGTATATGTATACGTGCTAATGACATGACGAACCTTTGCAGAAAGTTTTATTCAGTTGGAAAGTTCATTGCCATATTCAAAAATGCAATTTTACTTTTCATTACCACAAGAATTTCCAAAAACTTTTGGCTGGCTGACTGAAACTGGTATCCTTATTTCTCAGGTAATATTGCGATTGATTTGTGAAAATAATTTTCTTCGTGGAATGTCACGTCTTAAACTTTGATTGTACTCGCAAAGGTGGACCCTAAAGTAGACCCTGACAATTTATTAGTAAATCAACAAATGTTGCCATGCCCGGAAACTAGTCTCTTAAGTAGCAGTACTTCGAGGAAACATTCAACTCCATTGTCGTTTGTTCTGACTGAATTTCACGCGCTCCTTTTATACAATGACCATGTAAAGGGTATCTCTCTGCTCAACCAAGAATTAATTTTCGAAGACTTGTACAATGACGTGAGTTACAACAAATATTATATAAATGAACAAAAGCCTTCTATGATTTGAGATAATCATTTGTGTGATGCAGGCTTTTGGAAAATTGATTAATATCATCAAAGATCCCGCAACTGGCTCGATCTGGGCTTACAGTGAGAGAGCGGTTTTTAAATATAAAGTCACCAGAGAGGATCGCAATGTTTGGCAGGTAATTTTTACACCAACAGCTATAGAATGGGTCAAAAACTTTCGTACATAAAATTAATTAAATTTTGTTGGTAGGTATATGCTGCTAAAGAAGAATTTGAACTGGCCAAGCAATATTGTCAAGGCGATCCAGCTAATGTAGATCAAGTTCTCGTGAAACAAGCCGAAATGTTATTCAAAAACAAAGAGTGAGTATTTTTTTAGGATCAATTTACGGACAAATGTAAAATAGTTCTTGCTAATTATTCCCAATTTTTCAGGTACGAAAATAGTGCACTAGTGTATGCAGAAACGCACTCGTCTTTTGAAGAAATATGCTTAAAATTTTTGCAAGAAAATGAAACTGAAGCATTGAAAATTTTTTTAATAAAGGTAAAAACCTATAAGTAACCATTAAATTTTATTCAAGACTAGCGTAAAATGTCATGAATATTGTCTAGAAACTCGAGAGTTTAAGGCCACAGGATAAAACTCAAATTACGATGATCGTGATTTGGGTGGTGGAACTTTTCATGAATCAGATGGGAACGATGCGCAGCAACGACCCGTCTTACCTACAAAAACCACGCTACATGGAGCTTCAGAAGCATTTTGATAGTTTTCTGGCGTCCAACAAAGTGGAGGTAACTCTTGTTATTAAACATTAAAAGGAAAACTTGAGTTACAAACGATTCATCACTTTTACAGGAGTGTTTGCGACGAAATCGAAGCACGATTTGCAATATAATAGCCAGTCACGGGGACAAGGACAACTTGCTTCGGTTGACGATCATGAACAAAAACTATGAAGAAGTGATTCGCCAGCATTTGTACGAAAACAATCATCTCGAGGCACTCGAAGTACTTAGGAGTCAAGGGAACAAAGAGCTGTTTTATCAGTTTGCCAGCGTTCTTATACAGGAGCTACCAAAACAGACTGTCGCGGCATTGATAGCACAGGGATCTAATCTCAAGCCTACCGAGCTGATACCTGCTTTGGTGTCCTGCGACAACGATGAAAAACACGTACTGTTGTTGAATTTTATTTTTCTCACAAGCATTTCTCTAAATGACGTACAAAATTTTTTATAAAGGCAAAAGAGATAATAAGGTACTTGGAGCACTGTGTCTACGAACAAAGTTGTCAAGAACAAGCGATCCATAACTTTTTGCTCTCTCTCTATGCCCGCTATAAGAAAGACGAAGTTATGCGGTACATCAACTCACAAGGTACTGAAAATAAAAAAAAAAGAGAGATACAAACGTTTATAGCACACCATATTCGCGATTTGACAAATAGAGAAAATGACTTTCAGGCCAAGAAATAACAATGGTGCACTACGACGTTCATTATGCTCTCAGACTTTGTCAAGAAGCCAATCTGACAGAGGCTTGTGTTCAGCTCTCTGCGTTATTGGGACTATGGATGACGGCAGTTGATCTAGCGTTAACTATCAGTGTCGATTTGGCCAAGCAAATTGCCGCGATGCCGTCACATGACGGGGACGATGAGTTGAGAAAAAAGATGTGGCTGAAAATTGGTTAGTAGACTACAATTTGTGATCTAATGTAAATGTCAATGAATGATCAAGTACAATTTTGTAGCTGAGCACGTTGTCAAGGAAAAGAATGACATAAAACAAGCGATGGATTTTCTTCAGCAGTGCGATTTGCTTCGAATAGAAGACATATTGCCATTTTTTCCTGACTTTGTCACGATTGACCACTTCAAGGAGGCCATCTGTAATTCCTTGCAGGTAATTGTACATCTAAACTTTCGGCTTTGAGCACCTGCTTATATTGATGAAGATGAAAATTTGTATTTTCAGGAATATAATCGGCACATTCAAGATCTGAAGGAAGAAATGCAAGAAGCCACCAAAGCAGCCGAAGTTATTCGAAAAGATATTCAAGATTTTCGGACCCGGTAAGCTTGACTAATTATAATTGTACAATGTTGGTTTCAAGCTCTGAAATTATTTTTTCTTTGTCAGTTGTTCGTTTATACACACGAGAGACACATGTAACGAATGTAATGTGCAGCTGCTGCAACGTCCGTTCTACGTATTTCCGTGTGGACATCATTTTCACAGCGACTGTCTCGTAACGGCGCTAACGCAAATGCTGCCTCTGGAGCAGCAAACACGATTAGCTGAGCTCCAGTATCAGTTGACTCAGGCTCAACAGCAGCAACAGCAACAGCAGCTGGCTAGCAACGCAGATGGTAGTGCTTCCGATACATTTTCACCCAAGGAGCAGATCAAAGACGATATAGACGAGCTCGTAGCTTCCGAGTGTCTTTATTGCGGGGATCTCATGATAGAGTAAGTTTTTTATTTTTTATTTATTAATATGCTGCTTACGGAGCTCGCAAGTTACATACAAATTTCTTTTTAGCTCCATCGACAAGCCATTCATCAAGGAAGATGAATACGACAAAATAATGAAAGAGTGGTCGTAAGAAGAAAATGATGAGGGTTGTAAATAAAGTTTGATAATTGTAAAAATATTCTGGAGCACACTAAGATAATTTTTAACCGCTGCATTTTATATTTATGTATGTAATATATGAACAATATTCCATTTAAAGAAATATATTTGTATAAAACTTTGTAACTTATCATGTAATCGAGAGATTAGCGTTTTATCGTTGTTTTGATGCTAATTTTGGACATAATTAAAAAAAATGACTTTTAATAATTTTTTGTTTTATTATAAAAAATAGTTTGTTCTGTTTTTAGTATCAAAATCACTTAAACATATTTCATGATTAGAAAAGAATTTTACGAACCCTGCAAAAATGTCGACTCTGCATTTTTATCTCTTTTACTTACACAATTATGACCATACACATAGTACCTTAATGGTTTATTTGCCCATTCTTCACCGGCACTATCTATCCCGATTCTGGGACACTCCACTATTTTTATTTCCTCTTGATACCCATCATCTTCCAACCAAAGTCCTTTCCATTTGCAAATGGAATATTTACTGTGACATTTTTCAAGCTTCAGTGCCATACACGTTTTTGATGGTCCATTACATAATTCGTGAAATTTCAGTACTTTAGATAATTTTTTTTGAAGTTTAGCATAAGGCCTTTGACTTCTGTGCTCTGTCATGTGTTGTATGCCTTCCAAAGGTTCTAGAGCTCGAATAAGTACTGCACTGCCTTCCTCTAAAAATTATACAAAATTAATATAGATTGATGAAAATAAAACAAAAGGATTAACTTCTCATTCATTACCTTGGCTGGATATATTAAAACAATGATACATTCCGTATGTAAAATAAACATAAATAGTTCCAGGTACCATAAACATGGGAATATTTCTCAGAGTAACTTTTCCACCATAAGTTTGGGATGCTTTATCTTCACCACCTAAATAACTTTCTGTCTCTACAATTCGTCCCTTCAGGATTGTTCCATCATCTAGTTTCCTGACGAGCACTTTTCCTAGCATATTTTTAGCCAATGTTTTACATGGCACATTAAAAAATGAGTAGGGAAGTCTGGCTGAACAAATTTTTTTTTCCCAAGGCGTGGAGGGTGGATCCTCTAACTGTTTCAGTTTTTCTTCCATTGGCTCTAAATCAACTTTATATCGAGTCTTTTTCTTTGCTGGTTGTGGCATCAGCTCCATTTGAACTGGCCTTTTATCTGTCGAAAAAAAAAAAAAAAAATTGATTGACAAATATTTGTAAAAAGAACAAGAAAGCATGTACAACAACTTACTTTTGGTTAATGCCTCTAAATTCAATTTTTTGGCAACTATGTCTCCAGTCATTGTGTTTAGATCTTTTCTGACACCTGCGAAATAAGATTATCTTACATTTCAATGTTTAATTTGTAAATACTTACAATGTTTCAGCAAACAAATGGTACTTACCTTTTTTATTACGTGCAAAACCAATTGAAGACTGTACTTTTCAAGACAACTGATGAGGATTCAATAAATTGTGTCACCTGGAAGAACCCATCGCTAAATACGAGTATACTTATCTATTATCAAATTATGGTTTTTCGAGAACAACAACGGAGTGAAAAAAAAAAAAACAAACAAAAGTACTTAAACTATATTACGTTTACGGTCAAAGGGCCAATCACAAGGTTCGTTCAAGCCCCCCCTTGGTTCGGTTCGGTTCGGTTCGGTTTGGTCCCAGAACCCAGAACCGACCAAACCGGACCGAACCGAACCAAAGGGGGGCTTGAATTGAACGAACTTAATGAGAGCCTCTTTTCAAGTTTTCAGCGGACTGTGACAGTCGACTGTCTCTCAGCATCTAAAAAATAGACTGCTCGTTCTTACGAGATCTTTAAAACAGAACCAAAATGTTGGAGGACTTTCTCATTCATTGAAATTAATAATACATAAATTAATTTAATTTTTTTTTTTTTTAATATTTAAATAGCACGTCTTCGATTAGTGTCGTAATCATGTACTTACTCCTTCAAGATGTTCTGTAAGAATTTTGTAAAATCCTTAAGAAAATCTCTAGTGGAAAGTCTAATCAGAGTATACACAAATTATGCCATAGGGTAAGTATGTGCGTATTTTTACAAATACTCTAGCCATGTGAAAAACTACTCATGCTCCAAGTTTCTATACTTTTAAATAACATCGTGTAAACTCGAGTTTTATTATATTAATAATTAAACTTTAAGTAAATATTCTTTGTGCATTAATTTTTACTTTGTCGCATTGGGACTGAACTTTTTTCACCATGAGTGTGTTACAAGTTACGATTTATGTGACTGACGGAGGGAATCAGAACAGTACTTTTAGCTAATAGTAAAAAAAAAAAAAAAATACATTTCATGGCATATATTATTTCGTGCGAAACAAAACCAAGCTCAGAATAAAATTGAAAATGATATTTTTTGAACAACAATGCAGTTTGTTTATCACAACTAAAATTTCTGTACATGATATAATTTTTCCAAGTCGAACCCCTTGAAACTTAAACGTATTAATCACTTGCACAAAAATTTTACGTTTCTAAAAATTCATAATAATATTGTTATGATACATTAAATCAAACGGTTCTAAGAAATTTAAGAAAACCTTATTATTGTTCGATGATGATCAATGTATTCCTTGATTTTCATTTGAAATTCCGATGATCCAATAGTAACATTATTGCAAATTTTACGAAATCTCGCTGCCACTAAATGAAATTGGCCGCAAACGTGCAATACCAGAGTCATTACAGTAGCCTCAAGACCAATGGCGCCTAGTATACAGCAGGTTATAGCTATCGCCTGATCACAAAGATTTAAAAATTTGGTGATCGTTGCGTATCCATACCGTGCCTGCAAACTCAATTTTTTATTATTTGATTTCAGGAATACATTTTTTTTTCATCCAAGTAAAACAAAGATTTTACCATATCTCAAGTGGAAGATAATGAACATAATCTGTACCATTTGCTCAACGATAGTTAGTAACGGTTATTGCGATGGAAATTGGGACCAAAGTAAACTCATTCAACATCCCCGCGATGAACAGTTCCATAGTGATGCGATTAGCTAGTCTCGCGAATTTCTCAAAATGTTCCCGCTCTTGCCGATCTTTCGTTATTCACCAAAGATCTTTGGCACTCTCGTACATTTGGAAAAATTTTTTCCGACGTGCCATAATGTAGAACATTTTGATGATAAATTGAATCATCACGATCATTTTGCTGCCAACGTCTAGTAATTTATATGTATTTAACTATAATTTCTTCGTTTAACTTCAAAAATTATATATTATCACCTGTTACAAGTTCAATATCTTGCCGGTATCGGATTATTGTAGCAAATTGTGGTACATACATGGTGCTACCTGCGATAATAGTGAACACTGTACGAAAGTATCTGAATATTCGCGAGGATGCTGTGTTTGTCTTGTTAGGCCAGAATCCGATGATGTTAAGAAGATACCGATTTAGCCACACAAAATCGTCGTCGAACGAGGATATTTCGTTCGCATCATCGACTATTTGCTTCTTTGACATTGCAATAAGAAGTAGCTATATGCTGATTGCAAAACTACGATTCGAAGATAAGTTTTTATTCCTGAAAATTTCCAATTTTTCTATTTTTTTATTTTCACAAACTTGCGTTTATTCAAGGTGGCTGTATAANAAAAAAAAAAAAAAAAAAAAAAAAAAAAAAAAAAGAAAAAAAAAGAAAATAGGTCCGGTGGAAATTGAATTTTAACAACAACAAACGTGCGACATTTGAATATCTCTCTACTCATCGTGTAACGCGTAAAATACATGTGATATATACATGTCGTCTCACTCGATCGACAAACTACGTAACATAGTGAAATAAGAAGCCGCGGCGTTGAATATCTGGAAAAAAAAAACGCAAGTAAAAAATCGTCCACACATCGAACCCATTAAAAAAAATGTATTTCTCACTTCTGCCAGTTTCCTCAGCGACATGACCTGAAAGCTGAGGGCCGTGACGCAGCAGCCCCTTCGCGTCCTCATGATGAAAAAACGGACGTCCCGCTGTTGTTTCGCCGAGAGCCAGTACCAGGGCATCTCGTGAAAAATAACGTCGCCGAGGGCACGGCTCTCGTGGATGAGGAGCTCGCCGGGCCAGCACCATACGAGCAGCTGCAGGAACATCGTTATTACGTAGACCGTGTACTTTGCGCGGTCGACTCTGCTCTCGTTGGCCACGATCAGGGCGAAGCCGCTCAGGCAGATCTCCACGCCGCTCGACATCAATTGGATGAATATCACGGGACTCAGTAGGTTTCGCGTGTCGTCGGCCAATCTAGCTTGTCAAAAATAGTCTTTTTTTTTTTTTTTTTTTTTTTTTTAGTTGAGCTGATCGTGGAAAAAAAAATACTGTCAATTTTACGGAGAAAATACCGTTGAAACTTTATTAGTCACGGTATGTCGGTGCCACAAGTTTATCGTAAATATTTTTGTGTGTTTTATTACGAAATTACTTATTCTACTATTTATATCAATTTTCCTCACACATATTACGAAAAATGTTGTACGTAACTCGTGCGGACGATTTCCTGTACTCGGGTGATTGACTCGCACTCGTGGCCGATGCCAGTAACTCGTGCCCTGCGATCACACTCGTGCGCTCAACTGGCACTCGTTCCCAGCAACTTCGGCCACTTGTGCGCATCAATCACAACTCGTGCGGGAAATCTTTTATTCCGCACTTATAACGTAAATAACTATAAAAATAGCATTTCGTTTTCATTTGACACTGGTGTGTAAATAATATGAAGTATCAAACCGAATGCATATAATAAATAAAATTTTTTAGTAATTTAAAATAAATTTTTTAAGTATAAGAATTATTGATACATCACCATAATATTTTTAACGTTCAAAACATTTGTAAATTGATTTTTATTTTTTATTTTTAAATTTAAATTGCATTGTTTTTTGTAAGGGGTGACAATGTATGAGCTTTTCGGAGTATAATTTTTTGCAAAATAATCTATTGTTTTAGTTACATACCTATAATTGTTGAAACCGATTTGAAAATCATAAATTAATAAATAATTAGTTTGGTTAATTATGAATTATTAAAGAAGCAATTTGTGTTTAAAACTAGGATTGCATGGCAGTACTTAGTGAAGTTGTCGTTATTAGGAATATGAATAAACTAATGGCGAAAAGTATTGAGATGTAGAGTCGAAAAAACTTAAAAGACTGAGAGGCTTAAAAATTCTTCCAAATTCCCAAGAAACCCATCAGGTATCAGTTTGGTCAGAGAAAATCGTCCAAACTCCAAATCACAAATTTTTCTCTACTTCATTGGGATGGAAATCGTTTTACTTTGATAATTGTATACATTTTTATTTTTTACCACTGCAAAGTTCTTCCAATATCAAATTGCTGTGGCAATTTCCGGTACAAAAAAACGTGGTGATGACCGTTATATTAATTATTGATTGTCACTCTAAATTTATTCGTCAGGATGTCGTGTCTGACTTGTTAGACCAGAATCCAATGATGGTGTAAAAACACCGGTTTGGTCAAACAAAATATCAATCAACGGTAATATTCCATTTTCATTGTTAATCAAATTCTTGTCTAACGTTGCAATATTAATTATAGTTGCTAGTCCTGAAAAATTTTCAAATTCGTTATCCTTCATAACAAAGTGACTAGCTTTATTTGTCTTTTTAAATCCTATGTTTTGAAACAATACACTGTTACGAAATATAATCAAGGACACGTCATAGTGTCAACTGAATGGATGGTTTTAAAAATTTTTCAAAAAAATTACTATTGTTTACCAGAGGATTAAAAAATATTGTACCCTTGCCATTATTTCCCACTTGCTCAGTAACGAAAGTACAATCGGAAAAATTACCAGTTTTACATTACCGATTTGAATGGCAACATTTATTTTTCTGCTTGGCTGAGAACATCAGAGTTTTTTTCGAGTTAACTCGTATTAAACCTTATTTTTAGAAAGAATGGAGCATTTTGTTCTGAGATCCTTCAAAGGAGGACCTTTTGTTCTGTTAAACTAGTCGATTAAAAGAAGTATAATGTCGATGTGCAATGTTTTATGTGGTAGAATCATATTATAGTGATGATAGACATAACGACAATAACCCTTAAAATACGGGATAAAATAGACTGAGCCAGTAAAATTTAACGTGCACTAAAAATTAAAAATCGGGTCGTCGAGCCAACCAACTTTTTTCATGACTAGTCAGGTACTTTACCATAACAAAAAACTGTGATTTTTCTTTGATTCAACGTGATTGAACTTAAGTTTTTTAAAACTATTTTATCCATTATTCGTCTAATAAAATACACTTCTTACATCAGAGACACAGTATACCAGCGAAGATGTGAACGCGACAAAAATCCACGTTGCAACTGACGCAAGACGAAAGACAAGCGAAGAAAGTAAGGAGAAAAAAAGAAAAGAAAATCGTCAATACGAAAGTGAATCTAAGTATACACGCGTATCGGCGACGGAAAGAGTTGCAAGATATAGAATTTAAATAAATAACGAGGGTACACGCTCCTATAGCCGCGAGAGCTATGTACCGCAGTTGAATATTGTCACACCCTGTTATTTGCCGACTTTTACCGTCGACAGCAACTTTAATGGCGTGGCAATGACTGTCTTTTTGAATATTCACGACGCCACTTTTCTCTCCCCTTTTCGTAGAAGCTGCCAGTCGTACACGTCACACGTACACTGCAGTTGACGCTCAAACATCTTCGGTGATCAAAGTCCACATCTTGCATAACATTCTCGCATTTGGTTGCAAATAGTAGTAAAAAAANGGTTGGCCGAGATTCGTATAAGCTTCCTTTCTCACGTGAAGGAGTGAAAAATGATAGTGCAAAAAAAGAGGGAGGGGAGGTTTGCACCTTACGGGGAAAAAAAGAAGCGGGGTTGGGTTGAGAATTTTATTTTATTTTTTTTTTTTGTTGCTTACGGGGAGTTTGTGATTTTTTATTTCCTTTTTTTCGTTGAGAATGTCGATCAAGGGTGTGTTTTTTTTTAGTTCCACTAGAATATATTTTAAGGGAAATCGCTTTTTAAATTCATTTTTGAAGTGTACGGTGCCTTGCGAGTGCGATGAAAGAAAATTAGGTGAGATTGTTACGGGGACGTCCTTTTTTTTTTCTTTTTTTTTCGTAGTTTACCGAAACTAGAAATTGCATGGGAAAAAAGTTAAGCTGCTCGCAAATGTTTTCCTGAAAGTTACGAATTTTATAGCAAGGGGACAAATATTTTTCCTTTTTTTTTGTTTTTTGTTTTTTGTTTTTTAAGTAATGGGGAAAATTGCCATGCTTGTGATACAATTTTGTGCACTTGGAGCAAAGCGTCACATTCATTGTAATTTTTACGGTAAAGTTACTCCAGTGGAAACTTTTAGCGTGGAGCAACGGTAAAAACCTTCGCAGAAAAAGTAAATTTTGGCAAAACTTTGCTACAAAAATTGCACTGAACTCATTTTCCGGTGTATAATATTTCATTATTCTCAACGAGGGCACAATAAACAAGCGAATCGCTTGATTAAAATCGGGAGTCGTATATTTTGTCAAGTGAAAAAAGCGCCTCTGATTAATTATTTCACTATTTCCTTATGGAAAACAAAAAAAAAAAATGACGATTTGTTGACAGGAAAAAGAAAAACAAAAAAAAAAAAAAAAAAAAAAAAATGGCACCATCACGTCTTTTCCTCGGGCTCGGCTTGGATGTCCTTGAGGCTCTTGCCCATGGTCTCGGGCACGGTGAAGTAGAAAAAAACGGCGGACAGGAGGGTCCCAGTGGCGTAGAGCCAGAACAGGTAGACCGGCCCGACGAGGTTGAGCAGGGGTATGAAGGTGCCGGCCGACAGGGAGGAGAAGAGGGCGGCGCACCCGCTGTAGCTGAGACTGGCGATGGTCTTGAGGCTCGGGGAGAAGAGCTCGCCGACGAGGGTGCTGGGTATACAGCCAACCCCGGCCGAGTAAGAGGCCGTGTAGAGGAGGAGACAGGTGCAGGGCAGCCAGGTGAGGGTCGGGGCGTCGTGGCCCAGCTCGAGGATGAGGAGGAAGTGCAGGCCCATGGCACCGAGGAAGAGGGCCATGCCGAGGCTCGAGCTTATCATGAGGAAGCGCCTGCCCAGCCTGTCAACGAGGCAAGTTGCCGCGAGGCCGGATATTATGGCGAAAAAGCCCACGCCCACCACCACGTCCGACGGGGTCAGGCTCACCCCGCTTTTGCTCAGGATTATTTCCATGTAGTTGTTGATGACGTTGAACGCCCCGAAGAACAGGCTTATGTTTATCAGGAACATCGTGCCGAACGACTTGAGATACTCTGAGGGAAGAAACGGACACGTATTGTTTATTATATTTTCATGATTTATAAGGATGCATAAGAGCAAACGCTTAAAATGGCACTCGAGAGGACGCGGGAGGGAGAGGTTGTGTGCGGTGATTTATCTTTTAAAAATTAAAAATTAATACAAAATCAGTCACTTTAATCATGAAAAATGTAAGAACCAATTTGTACCGAAACCTAGAATCAAATGGCAATGGTCTGGGTAAGGGGTAAGAAAGTAAAAAATTGCCATTTATAAATTATTGATATGAATTATTCTATTTTTCTCAAAACACATTAATTTTACTTTGAACGTTTACACGAACTATGATGTCTCAAAAAATTTTCACCCAAATGCAAATTACAATAACCAATAACCCTCATGAAATTCAAACCCAAACTTATAATTTTTAATCATAACAAGAATAATGACTGATTACGTACGATTTGTACGTAGAATTTGAAATATATGTATATATTATCTTGTAATTTAGAAAAGAATCTCAAATAATAACGTTTGACCAAAAATGGGTGTAGCAATCGTTCGTTTACAGAAAAATAAAAAATGTTAACCAATTAATTGTTTGTTTGCAGCAAACGACGTACCTTATGATTCGCTGATGATGATGTACGTGCTCCCTAAATTTTTCTTTAAATCGCGTCTCGAACTCCATTTGGTTGTTTGTGCGGCCCATTTCGCTGAATCTAGCGCTCAACAGTCGAAATTGACCGCACACGTGGAGCACGAGGGTCATCATGGTTGCGTCGAAGCCGATTACACCTATCGCGCTATATATCATTCCCGTTGTCTGGTAAATGAAGACCACCTCGTAATTTGGCGAGTGTTGGGTATCGATTCCGTATCTGCACGTTACGTATGTTATAAAACGCGATAAGCCATTTAAAAAAAAAAAAATTCATCCGTTTGATGTTGTGAATAATCAACGTCAATTAATTAATCTAAGTAAATGATACAATTACTAATTTATTTGAATCGTATTTAATCCCTGATGTATTCGACAAAAAATACAACGAACAGTAAAAAAATGGTTAAATTATTTGTATTTACTGTATAAAAGCACCTAATGTCGATAGGTAGACTGGCATTGGCATCGACAGACGGCGACATGAATAACGAAGCGAGGGTAAACATAAAAACATTTGATATACCCACGATGAAGAATATTATGGTACAATTTTTGGCCAATTTTGCCAATTCCTCGACTTTATTACGTTCCACCTCGTTATTGGCTGTTTGCCAAATATTTTTAGCTTCGTGATAAATGCGTCGAAATTCGCGACGGTGCACCAACATATAAAACATCTTGAAGACCAGCTGACCAGCTTCCAGGGCGATGCCGCCTATACCTTTATACATTAGGATTAATTTTCTTTTCCCAATAACATACAATATATTGTTTATTTTATTTTATTTTTTTTTTTTTTGACACATATGGTATATATTTAATCTACTTTAAAGTATATAAACCTGTCAGTGTTGATAGGTCCTTCCAACAAATGACGACCGTCATTACTAGGGGCACGAATAAACTAAAGACGAAGAATATCGAGATGACGAGCCGAAAAAGCGTAAATGGCCGAGAGGCTTGGCCATCGTTAGATTCCACGGGCCAAAAGCCCAAGAAACCCAAAAGGTATCTGTTTGGCCAAAGAAAATCGTCGAAACTTTGCGATTGCCTTTTTTTCACGACGATCTCCATCACTTGGAGAAAAATTAATTTCTCTCTTTTGGTACGATCCTTTTGCCCTTGATCCAAGTTACATCGTGAAAATTCAACGTTTAATCGTAGGTTTCAGTTACCATGAAAGAGAAAAAAAAAGTCACTGGGAAACGAGCACTTCAAAACAACGATTTGTTGGACAAGACAACATCGGTTACCATCGAAACTGACGTAAAGCAACAAAGAAGTAAGAAAATAAAAATAGTAAATCGAAGGGAAACGCGATGCGAATAAAATATTCCCTCTGAAGCGATTTATCGCTCTTCCGAGAAAACAACCTTTCCTTTGCACTAAGGTGCCATTTGCACATAGCTTCTGTCTTATTCTATTTTTACGATAAATGCATCTGCAATTTATTTTCTTTCGACTTACACCGTCTTCGATTTTATCGCCCATATACAATGTATCGCGTCGCGAAAAGAGGTGGTGCACGTACTTATACGCAATGGCACCAAATAACAGGCAGCGGTAAATAACCCCTCGTCAAATATTCAACGCGTCGGCTATTTTTTTTTTTTTTTTTTTTCCCGCTCTTCTTCTACGGCAACGTGGCCGTCTCCCTCCTCAGCATGGTCGCCATCACCATCAACAGGTTCGTTGTTTTTTTTTTTTTTTTTTTC